TGGTATTTTGACACTACAAAAATTGTTTAAAATATCGTTTAGTTAACAAGAGCTTTTATTCCAACTAGCAGATTTGTGTTAAAAAAACCCGATCTTACGGTCTCATTTACTTTTTTTAAATCAACTTATAATAAGGGATTAATTGGGATGTTCGAAAATAGACGTTTTAAACTAACTATTCGAATATCGTTTGGTAGCAAGTAAATGTGTAAAATTCTGTGAAACCTTGAGAAAAAGAGGGCGCAAGAAAAAGCGTGACAGAGCCAATCAAATTTTGCCAAATTTCATAGATCATTCTAGATCGTCAATTCTAAATTTGGTAAATGCCCTGACTGTAATATAATAAAGGGTTTTATTATAAACCTCCCTACCTAGTATACTTGAATAAAAATCTTAGCTTTGAAGAGGCTAGTTAAAAAAAAAAACAAACAAACATATAAAGCTTGCTTTGAATATAATTATGAATTTAATTAGAAAAGATAATTAAAATCATAAAATAATTATATTATATATAATTTTAAACTCTGTATATAAACTTTAGTATATATATTTTTTTATTTGTTTTATTTTTTTTATTAAACTAGGTTTAGATAGTTAGTATAATAGCTAACAAATATGTAGCAGCTAGTCAGTAACCAAAGAATTTAAAGTTTTTAATAAGATAAAAACCCAAAAGCTATTAAGACAAATCACATTTAGACACATTAAAATAATCACACTCTTTCTGATGATCCTTTAAACAACAACAACAAAAACTAAACTACAAAAAAATAATATAGAAATGTCCAATACAGATACTTCTCAGTCCTATCTTGAAGTAAAACAGTTATCGACAAAGTCTAAAGATGTGAAACACCAAGAAGCAAATGTTTTTTAGACGGTTTTTTTTAAGATCAAACTTTTTTCTTTTTGTGTAAACTCTCTAAGTTATTCAGCATCCAAACCAAAAGGGTATTCTGGAAACTGTTTTTACCTTCATGTAAGTTGTTGTTAATGAAATTCAAGAGATGTGATATACTGAGAAGTAGGTATAACTTGGATGGTTTTTTTTGGAATCAAGTTTTTTGCTATATTGACAGACTTCTAAAGTTACTCAGCATCCAAACCAGAAGGTCTATTTTGAGAACAAGTAGTAGTCAAAGACTTTCGCTGAGATAGTTGAAGCTTGAAGAATTGTCTATACATCTATAAAACTTATAGAAAAACCTTACATACTCTTGTTGTCTCTCCACTTTTTTTCAGAAAAAATTTTATAAAAAGTGGGCAATTTAGCTTACCTCTTTCAAAAGATCGATGTATTATTTACTTACCAAATCGGTTGCATTGTTTACTTTTTTTACTTGTTACAACAAACATGTAGATATATATGGAATTGAATATATAGATTATATATTTCAAATGTGACAACTCGGACAAACAATAATTCGAGACCTCTGATGTGATTTTCTGACCTTTCTGACCTCTCTATGATGCTATTGTCGAAAAAACTATTTTTTTTTACCTTGTTACAGGGTTTTTTTCTTATCTTAGATATACTATGTATATAAATTAAAGTAAAGACTAGTTTAAATAGTAGTATATAACTTTTATAGAGTCTGATATACTTGTGACTGTCTAGTGCAGATAAAAAATCCTGTATTTAGTTTAGTTTTTTTCATTTTTTCATTTTCTCATTTTTTTTTGTTTGTATTTTTTTAATATGATCCCCTATACCTCTGTATTATTTTAAAATTTTTTTTTTCTTTTACTTCTCTATGAGAAGATGCTATCAGATTGGTGGTATTCTATTGTAGGGTGATGGTTGAACAAGCTCTCTGGTTAGAGTATTATCTTATTGATCATACTTCACTGGTGCAGCAAGTCATCTATAGATGCTCAGATAGCCTTTGGTTATGTTGCAGTAGCTATAAGATGTCAGAGCTGGAGTTTTATTAGCTTAAATCTTCCAAAAGATTGACTTGAATAAACATAGATCACTGGTACAATTTTGCCTAAGTGAAAAAAAATAAAACAAAAAATCACATCTAGGTGTTAACACTGGGTAAGCCTTGATTAGTATAGTTATAAAGAAGAATTTTTGTAATTCATTAGATAATTTAATCTTAATTAAAGGCAGAATTGCCAAATTGTAAAAAATTGTATCAATCTGATTAAATAGACTTGTTTGAAAAACAGCAATTCATCTGACTAAACAGACTTGTTTGAAGAACAGCAATTTAGGATCTAATCTTGGGACCGGACCGGATTCGCGATTTAACATCCTTAGTTTTCATCGCATGTTTCACTCTGTAGTACAGTATAATAGTTATATAGATAACTATACGTATAAGAGAATGATTATTATTTTGCACAGTAAATTTAAATACGGAAGTTACAATTACCTGTATTCAGAAATAATGTTTTTATTTGGAAAATCACAAATATTTGGATTATAAATGTCGGCTTGTGCCGTAACTAGTTTTGAATAATGGTCACATGTATAATTTTGATAATTTTTTTATCCCAATATTAATTTTATAATTTAGGCAAAGCCGATCTTTGCCGGCTAAATTTACTCCTTTGGATCAAATTTTTTGCACGGGCACTGACCTATTTGAGATCTAAAAATATTATCCAATCACATTTAACGAGAGCCGATTAAAAAGAAATTCATTCATGTTCATGAAAGTAGAGAACTTCAAATATACGAAAACGAAACAATGAATCGTCTCTTTGGGACTTCTAAAAAGGCACCAAAGCCAACATTGAACGATGCTATTGTCGCGGTTTGTACTTTTACCGTTTACTATTTTGATATATATTGAGATTTTAACAAGGGTACTTTCATATTATTATTGTTATAGACGGACGGCAGAGTTTCTGCGGTTGAGGTTAAGATAAAGAAACTTGATGGAGAATTGGCAAAATATAAAGATCAAATGAAAAAAATGAGAGAGGGACCGGGAAAAGTCAGTTTGATTCAAAATCTTCTATTTATGGCTGACATAAATACCGTCTATGTTTTAATTCACGCTTTTCGAATAGCCTTCGGTTCATTCATATATCATTTCTTCTAATAGAATGCAGTTAAAAACAAAGCTCTGAGAGTTTTGAAGCAAAAAAAAATGTATGGATTTGCCTATAGAATGGATAAATTATTCTTTCGAATTCATAAAAATTCTATTATTTAGGTATGAGAGTCAACGCGACCAACTTCAACAACAATCCTTCAATATGGAACAGGCAAGTTTTACGACCGAGAATTTGCGAAATGTGGCTACAACCGTTGATGCAATGCAATTAGCAAATAAAGAAATGCAAAAACAATATAAGAAAATTGACATAAACAAAATAGAGGTATTTTTATTCAATTATCAGTAATGTATGCAATATCCAGATATACTCAAATTATCTTAATAGAGTGTTCAAGACGATATGGAAGATTTGATGGAACAAGCTAATGAAATACAAGAAACGCTCGGTAGAACATATGGACTTCCCGAGGATATCGATGAAGAAGAATTGGAAGCAGGTATTTATTGAATAAAAGCTATACAATATCAAGGAGTTTATTAACATTGATAATTTAATCCATGTAGAATTGGAGGCACTGGATGATGAATTAAATTTCGAAGAGGAAGAAGAGCCGTCATATTTACAGGAGACACCAGAATTACTAAATTCAGGAGTGGAGTTTGATGGAGTTAATGTAAGGAATATAAACGTAATTAAATTTACGATATTTCACGAAATTAATTTTTATTCTTTACATTTTTTAGCCTGTGACACAAGAACCTGGTTTGTCAGAAAGACCAGTGAAAAATGTAGCATAAAGATTTTAGATGATCCAAAAAAAGTCTAACAAATAATTTATTATGTATAATAATTAACATTTACAATAAATTAACCTTGAATTTAACTAACTACCCCCCTGGTTAAAATTATAAATTTTAACCAGCTACAATTTATTATAAATTTTTATTTTTAAAATTTAAAACTAAAATTAAAATTAAAGATTAGGTTTAGGGTATAATTTAAGCTATAGAATAAGGTTTTTTAGAGTGCTGAACATTTTTGCTTAATGCATCAAATTTAGAATATTTTTTAAGTTATAATAAGAGGTTGGTTACGTTAACCAGGGGGCAAGTTAGCAATATCCATTAACATTTATGTCTAAATTTCTAAAAGTCCATTATCTAAACGATATTGTACAAGATCAGCGATAGTGATAAGTTTTAAATTATGTTCATCTGCAAATGCACGACAATCATCGCGACGTGCCATTTGCCCATCCTCTTTTACCAATTCACAGATAACGCCAACGGGTTGCAATCTCGATAATTTACATAAATCTAATAATGAAATTAATCTAATCAAAATTCAGTAGAACAGATAAGAAATTTCTCACTGATATAGATCTTATACAAACCTACTGAAGCCTCCGTATGACCAATTCTTTTTAAAACTCCGCCTTCACGATACCTTAACGGAAATACATGACCAGGTCTATTAAAATCACTTGCTGTGATGGTTGGATTAGCAAGTGAACGTGCTGTCAATGCACGATCATGTGCTGATATACCAGTCGTAGTATCTGCACAAATTAATCTTATTTAAATGCGCTTTAAATATTTTAACTATCAACCAGATAACTTAAATAAACCTACGTACTATATTTATAATCCACTGATATCGTGTACGCGGTTTTCATTTTTTCGGTATTGTTTGGAACCATCAAAGGTAGTTGCAACTGATCCAATCGTTCTGGAGTAGTCGGTACACAGATTAATCCGCTAATTATGAAAGATTTTAATTAAGATATTAAAAAAAAAAAAAAAGGCTAAAAAAAACTCTACTTACCTTGTATATCTGACCATAAATGCCATTTTTTCGGTAGTTACTTTTTCTGCGGCAATTATTAAATCGCCCTCGTTTTCACGATCTTCATTGTCAACAACCAGTACAAATTTACCCTCCGCTAAACAACGTAATAGTATAATAGTATAATAGTATAAAAGTTAATAAACACGTATTTATCTTTAATAGACATTCCATAAATACCTACCAAAATCCTTAATCGCGTCTGTAATAGAATCAAACCGAACCTTAGATTTTGTCTGCATTTTAGACTTGATTGTAGTACCATTAGTGCAATTAGTTGAATATGGGATTGCGTGCTCTTTCACCATCTTTGTATTTGGCTTCTCGATGACAATTTTTTTTTTTTTAGCTATTTATTTATTTTTTTTTTATATAGCATTTATAATCTGATTTATCTGATTAGTAACAGTGACACATCTAATCTACATGATTAATAATATTTATAGTTAAAAACATCAGAGATTTTTTTCAGTGCATCAAGTGTAACCCAGGTTGAGCTTCTTCCTGCGTTACGAATACAAAGTAAAATCTCCAATTATATAATATAATTGGAATTTTACTTTGTATTCGTAACGCGGGAAGAAGCTCTCCTTATGCGAACCTAGGTTAAGGGCTGTTAAAAGCCCGATCCTTTCGGTCCGGACTCAGTGAATAGGGACTTAATCCATCTCATGTAAATTAACCAATCACATTTATTCCCTTCTCGAACAAAAGACGTGCATATGGGAGATAATCGCTAGAACAAAAGACATGCATGTGGGACTTTGTCTGGGAAGGACCAGGTCCGACAAGCTTTTTAACAGCCCTACTCTTGATGCACTTTCGACGCACTAAACAAGGTAGGACAGCTGTTAAAAATCGAAAAAAAATATCTGCTGTTAACATCTATATCGCTTATTAAGAAAATATATATATTGATTTACAAATTAGTATTAATGTTAATCCGAACTTATTGATCAAGTGCTTTAATCAAACGACCAAATTAATTAAAGATTATACAAATTTCACATCTTATATCAAATATTAAAATTGTTCAGCATTGTGCCCTCAAAATAATTCAGGGATGGTAAATGGCCTGGTCATTTGGTCAAAATTTAAATGACTCAAGTCATTTGGGTCATTTGGGTCATTTGCATATAAAGTAATTTTATTGGATGAATTATTTATATAAAAGTTATCGAACTTTTATTACTTTTCTAATCGATAATTGTAGATATATCAAAATCAAAATTTTACTAAGTCAATTAATATTTATGCCTTAAGTTGTTCGGGAAAATAAATCGCATGTATTTTGAAATTTTCACGTAAATTGAATACCTTTCTATTAATTTACTTTCGCATATTACGTTTACACGAAAAATTTATATTAACGTAAGATGCAGAAGTGAATTAATAAAAAGTTATTCAATTTATATAAAAATTCAGAACATATCAGATACGTATGCAATTTATTATCCCGAACAACTTTACTTAAGGCATAAATATTAACGTTAATTGATTTAGTAAAATTTTGATTTTGATACGTATATCTACGATTATTGATTATACATAAAACTTAATTTTGCTTGGCGGTCAATTCTGATATGTTAAATGACCTTTTAAGGTCATTTGGGCCTTGAAATGAGCAATTGGGAATGGGTCAAAAATGTGGCTTAGTAACTCTCATGGACATGTTCGTGATACCTAAAAATAGATTAACCAATAAAATTGTAAAACCAAAAATCACGAGGATCTGCATGACCAATCAGATTAATTAAAAAAATTTAATACGCTATGCAATTTTATTGGCCAACTTTAACTACTTTTTTGATTTTCCCCAGAAAAATTTTTACTATCACATTGATTTTGTTATGTTAGGGTTAGAGCCTATTTAGAATCAGAATTAGGAGTTCTGATAGTAAAATTGGTCAAGAAAAACTTTTCATTAATGCGCAGAAGGTGGCTTCCTATGTGAATTTTTGAGTTATAAGCGATTTTTACTAAGCGAACGTTTTGAAATTTTTTGATCGCATAACGTTACACTAAATCGTTGTGGTTCATCACGTGACAGTAAAAATTACATAGTAATTTTTCTGGCGATCCTGGGGTAGTCACATACCATGTGTAAAACAAGCCAATTTTTACTGGCCGATTTTTTTAATTGGAGTTGGAACAAAACTTTGTCCGAATTCCATTAGTTTATTATTTCAATTGAATTTTGAATTGGACCATTCCACCTAAGCACGCATTTCACATACATATGATGATTCATTTAAAACTAGAATTTTCAGTCTTATATTTTTGTATCGCTACAATAAATTACCCGGATAATTTGATACCCGGATAATTTGATACCCGGATAATTTGATACCCGGATAAAGATTTTCTCCATGCTCTAAATTAATTTCATCACCTTAGTAATTCGCGTGAATCACGAAATCACGTCGGAAGATAGTGAATCCAACGTTACCACCGATCGAGGGTGCATTCACATGCCCTGAGTTGATACCGATATCGCTATAATCTAAATTATATATTTTACGGCGTTTTTTTTTTTTTGTTTCGTGGCTTTATTCAATTTGCCATTAGAGATGTGCTAATTTAGAAATAATTTCTAAAAGAGTATTATGCATGCAGGTTCTTTTAGAAGTTGTTTCCATATTATATATATATATATATATATATAGAAATGAACGGTGCTTGTATGTATTTCTTATTTGTATTTTCTGTTATACTTTACAACAAATAAAGGGAATAATAAGAAACAAAAGTTAAGCCATTTATGTAAAATAAAGTGGATAAAATAAATTTCACTTAAAATTAATATCGCTCATACCGCTGATGTTTGTACAATTTATTTTTTATCGTTATGATCAAAAGATTTCGTTTACAATCTGTTTACAGATCGATGCTCATAATCTATTACAATCTGTAATGAAATCCTGGCTGCAAACCTTTATTTCATATCGATATGAAAAGTGTGTTAGTTTTTTAAACAAAATTTAAGAATGATTTGGTTTTAGCACAAGTTGCCCTTTAAGAAAACGAAGTGTGATTATGGTCGTAAGGTCATGTGATTGCACCCTCGATTAGTTAGGAAAATGATACCATCATCTCATGCGAGACATCTCTGATTTATATATATGCTTGAAATTATTTCGGCTTGTCGAAACTATTGCTATAAGGCTTATTCGTAACTATATAAGCTGAAATAGTTTTGGCTACGTATATGATATTATATAAAAAAATATACAATAGAGAATGAGGTAATGTGATTGTTCATTCAACTAATAATCCGACACTTTTTTAGCTTAGTTTTTTATCTTAGTTATTAAATCGTTACGTATATGAAACAAAGTGGATGGCCGCCTAACAGATAATCTAGCATTTTTTAGCCAATTAAACATTAGTTACCAGATCAAACCGATTTTTTTCAATCGCGGAGTTTACCTAGACCAGTTATATATACGAGTTATTACCTGTCACAATAACACAATAACAGGTTGACGATTTTTAGGTAGCCATATCAAATTAAGAGATTTGCTGCAATATGATTGGAAAATGATTCTTTACGGATGAAACTTTTAATGTCCAATTTAGATAGACTATATATAAACTTTGAATACGTTTGTTCTTTTCGATAGTTACTCCTTTTAATTTATAAAGATGAATGTTTTCCGACTTACAGCAGATTTAATGCACTTATGTTCCATTTTCATTTTGCTACTAAAAATTCAGAAAACGCGGTCATGTTCTGGTAAGTTATTGCCTTAAAAATATTTGGTTTAATGAGAGCGTTTGTGACCATGTCATCACAAGTTCATAAAAGACAAGAGTTTAGGAAATGGTGTCTTCTCCTTTTGAATAATTCAAACGCTCGGATATAAATTAATTTTAATTCTTGATTAGAAACAAAAACTGTTCACCGTTTATTATATTAATTCATAAAATTCTCGAATTATTTTGATACTTTTCTTTTTAGGAATTTCCTTTAAAACTCAACTTCTCTATGCAATAGTTTTTGTTACTCGATATCTTGATCTTCCTAAATGGATTTCATTGTATAACACTTTGATGAAAATCTTCTTTATCGCTTCATCGATTTATATTTTGTATTTGATGAAAATGAAGTTTAGAGCGACGTATGATCCTAGTCAGGACACTTTTAGAGTAGAGTTTTTATTGGGGGCATGTTTATTGTTGTCACTAGTATTTAACTATACCTTTACGTTTATTGAGGTATTTTAAAGTGCCGCTTTTTGTATACATACGTTGTAAATGAGAATGGAATTTAAGTGGTTTTGAAATTTTTTAAGATTTTAGGGTTAGGATATAAGTTTATATAGAACAATTTCTACCCTAAAATTCTAATTTGCTTAAGAAATTCCAAATCCACTTAAATTCCATTCCCACTTACAACATATATAAGGTTTTATTATACTATGATAGTAATAATTTATTATTATAGGTTCTCTGGACCTTTTCGATTTATCTTGAAGCTGTTGCAATTCTTCCACAGCTTTTTATGTTATCTCGTACAGGAGAAGCAGAGACTATTACAACTCATTACTTGTTTGCGTTAGGCGCATATCGTGCTCTCTATTTATTGAATTGGATTTGGAGGTTTTACTTTGAAAGACACGTGGATTTAATCGTATGGGTCGCTGGTGTAATTCAGACCGCTTTATATAGCGACTTCTTTTACATTTATTACACAAAGTAAGTTTTCGTTTCATTATCAGTTTTCTTTTTATTTG